TTCACCTTTAGATGTCAGACTTTCCCACATATTGCAATGCTGTTTATTTTGTAAGATAGCAAGGCATTTAAATATATGATTGTGCTCATCATCAGGATCAACTCATAAGAATCCACGGCTGATAGCTCACTTCTGAGAAGATTTGGGAATAGAAATAGAACACAACAGGACAGAACATGAGAGAATAATAATAGCATTGGAAGGGATTTTGGAGGCCTTCTAGTCCAACCTCGTATTCGAGCAGGAGATCCTACAGTATATCCTTTCATCCTTTCTTGTCCTGCCTTCTAAGTGCTTTGGAAAATCGTTTGATCCATTCATCTTTGTAGGAGCCCCTCAAACATTGAAACACTGCTCTCATGCCACCCTTAGTCTTTCTTTTCATAAAACTAGACATATCCAATTGCTAGAGAGACTACTAATATTTGCAGACTTAGCTCTCTGGCAGAGCCTCCCTTTTTGACCTGACAATATTCAGAAACAAGCGGGGTTATTCCTAGTGTATGCATGCAATTAGGTTTCTTTCTCTGTTACTTCATGCCTTCATCTTTTAAATATTTTATTCCTAACCCTACATGAATGTTTTATGGAGCATTTGTTTGAACCCTGTTCCTGCGGAGGTCTTATTATTCCTTATTGTTGAAGGAGGTGTTTTTTTTTTTTTTTGCTGCAAACTGTCATAATTCAACCCACTGAAATTGGTGGCATGCCAATTGAATGAATGAATCTTTTCAATGAATTAATGAATGAACCTTTCAAAAAAAATTAAGCGCTGGGAGAACATGTCGTATCGCACCAAAGCTTATCTACTCTAACTTTCTTTATGTGTTAATGTAGAAATAGGGGAGAATAAATTTATGAATGGACATATGTTAGATGGACATATGCCTTCCTTAGTTCTGAATCTGATCTTACTGATCTATGAACTCCCCTCCCCTCCTCTTCCCTCCCCTCCCCACTCCACCTGACTCCACTCCACTCTACTCCACTCTCCAGCTGGGGAATACTGGGAGTTGGTCTACCCATCTTAAAGCTGCTAAGATTGAGAAAAGCTGTCCTAGAGAATGCAGAATATAATCATATATGATGGTCACAATCTCAGCAAGAAGGAAACTTCACAATGAAGCAAAGCTGAATTGTAAAAAAAAAAAAAAAAGTAACTGAAGAACTACTTGGCATCACCTAGGTAACCTTATCTAGCTTAGATGCTAAGCAGAGTCAGCTCTGGTTATTATTTGGAGGGGAAACCCTTGGAAAAATTCCACAGTTGTGGTCTAGGCCAGTGGCCACCAACCAGTGGTCCATGAGAAAATTTTGGTGGTCCGCAGAAAAATTATTTGCAGTTTTTATATTGCACTAAATACTATTTATCTTTTCTTAAAAAATTCATATTAGTGGTCCACGAGATTTAAAATTATGAATTTAGTGGTCCCTGAGGTCTGAAAGGTTGGTGACCCCTGGACTAGGTTGCTAAGAAAAAAAATCTCAGAAGAGTAAAGACGGGAGAAAAAAAACCTCCATTTTTTTCTAGACATAGAGGTTGATGTAAGGAGTGAGGCGGAGTCTACTTCTTCCCTTTTCTTTTTGTTCTCTCCCCTTCTACTTCTTCACCCAGGCTCCTCATCCACTGAGCCTGGTTGTGTTCATCCAAGATACTAAACCAATGATGGCTAACCTTTTTGCCATCGCATGCCAAAAGCAGGGGGAGTGCGGTGGGGTCACACGCATGCGAGCCCACATCCATAATTCTATGCGCCCCCCCCTGTGCTCCCCCCCCACTTTTGGCACGTGATGGCACGGTGGGCACGGTAGGCCCGTTTTTTGCTCTCCCCAGGCTCCAGAGCCTTTCTAGGAGCCTGGGGAGGGCAAAAATGGCCTTCCCCCCTGAGGCCCTCCGGAGGCCGGAAATAGTGTGTTTCCTGACTTCTGGTGGCCCCAGAAGGCCCGAAAATCAGCTGGTTGGCGCACGCATACGTACCAGAGCTGAGCTCGCGTGCCCACCAATATGGCTCCGCGTGCCACCTGTGGCACCCGTGCCATAGGTTCGCCATCACGGTACTAAACCATCAATCATGGTTTGTAATAGCTAAGCCCAAAGAGGGGAAACTTTATGATGACTTTGCATGCTACGTGACACATTCAGCCTTAACATGGCTTCTTTGCTTTGTCTTTGCATATTGAGGGACATAACTAACGTGGGTTTTTTTTTTGTCTAAATATAAAACCACGTGGTTTTATATTTGAATTGGTAGATACCGTGTGCTACCTCCTGCTTACAATTGATCTGCTGCTTCATACTTTTGCCTTTTATTCTTTGAAATTCTCAGCTCTCTTCCTTCCTCATTGGCCTTCTTGGACTATTAATAGGCAAATAACAGACTAATTTTATACATTGACCAATGTACTCATTCCAAAGAGTCAAGTGAAAACTCCTCCAGGTGGGGGTCATCTGAATTATTCCTTCTACTTGCCTCACCTAAAAAACTTTAGAGACTCTAGAAAAAGTGCAGCGAAGGGGAACAAAGATGATCAGGGGACTGGAGACTAAAACATATGAAGAACAGTTGCATGAATTGGGTCTGGCTAATCTAGTGAAGAGAAGGACCAGGGATGACACAATAGCAGTGTTCCAATACTTGAGGGGCTGCTACAGAGAGGAGGGGGTCAAGCTGTTTTCCAAAGCACCTGAAGGCCAGACAAGGAATCATGGATGGAAACTGATCAAGAAGAGATTCAACCTAGAAATAAGGAGACATTTTCTGACAGTGAGAACAATCGATCAATGGAACAGAAGTTGCCTTCGGAAGTTGTGGGAGCTTCATCACTTGAGACTTTCAAGAAGAGACTGGACTGCCATTTGTCAGAAATGGTGTAGGGTTTCCTGCTTGGGGAGGGTTGAACTAGATGACCTACAAGGTCCCTTCCAACTCTGTTAATCTGTAAAATCTGTACGACCTGAGACTGTTTTGTTTTTTAGCAGCTGGTTTGTTGAACACAGCTGTATAGAGCTCCCTTTATAATATAACAGTTGCGTATAGGGCTCCCTATACACACCTACGGTTTTAAACAATATAGAATAACAATAACAATAACAATAGTAATAATAAGAATAAGAACTGTAGAGACTCTGGCATAAACCAGTACAGGTGGTCCCAATTTATTTATTTATTTATTTATTGGTTCGATTTATATGCTGCCCTTCTCCGGAGACTCAGGGCGACGTACAATGTGTTAAGCAATAGCCTTCATACTTTTGTATATACCTGCTTAGTGGGGCTTTCGGCCCCCCTAAGCAGTGTTCTTTTTTTATACAAAGTCAGCTTATTGCCCCCACAATCCGGGTCCTCATTTTAC